CCCCCCCTCCCTCATCGATCGACCTACCTCTCACAGACCTCACTGGGACATGACATTTCAGCAGTCAGAACACGCATCAAACAACGCATTATGTTGTGTGCTACCATTGGACTGGTATTTCATTGTGAGAGATGTCTGTCCTGACCTTTGACCTTAGCCTGGCTTCATTGTGAGAGATGTCTGTCCTGACCTTTGGCCTTAGCCTGGCTTCATTGTGAGAGATGTCTGTCCTGACCTCTGACCTTAGCCTGGCTTCATTGTGAGAGATGTCTGTCCTGACCTTTGACCTTAGCCTGGCTTCATTGTGAGAGATGTCTGTCCTGACCTCTGACCTTAGCCTGGCTTCATTGTGAGAGATGTCTGTCCTGACCTTTGGCCTTAGCCTGGCTTCATTGTGAGAGATGTCTGTCCTGACCTCTGACCTTAGCCTAGCTTCATTGTAAGAGATGTCTGTCCTGACCTCTGACCTTGGCCTAGCTTCATTGTGAGAGATGTCTGTCCTGACCTCTGACCTTAGTCTGGCTTCATTGTGCTGGAGTTAGGACACACGTGCGGATAACTTTAGAACGACAGATGAACGCCATTGGCTGATATTTATAGTAACAACCATCTTGTTTTTTCGCCCCCCCACCTGTAATGGGTACCTAACTTCGAGTTGGGGAGGCAAAGGACTACTTTTTTAAAATATTTTTTTTTCTGAAAAAATATATAATATGTTAACTGAAAAGCATGTGATCTCGTGACTTTGGTGGATTTAAAAAACATACTAATTTTTTTTTAAAATTAGTCCTTTACTTCCCAACTCGAAGTCAGGTACCGTACCCATTAGAGGTGGGTGGGTGGGTGAAAAAGATAATCCGTGGCCGAACCGAGGCTCGAACCTGGACTTTCTGCCTTGAAGACAAGCGCACTAACCACTCCGCCACCACGCCACTGTAAGCTACAGGTTTTGAAAATACTGCAACAGTGCTTTGTGGTCGTGTTGTCACCGTGAACCACAACAAAGTGGGAACCCCTCAATGACGTCAAACAAGATAGCTGTTACTATAAATATCGGCCAATGGCGTACATCTGTCGTTCTAAAGTTATCCGTATGTTAGGACACACCCTGGTAACGTCACAGACTCTCTGGGCAGGAAGATGGGGGAAATGATTGTTGTAGTTGTAGTAAGAACAGTCATTATTCTCATCATCATAAGAGGAGGAGGAAGAAGAAGAAGAAGAAGAAGAAGAAGAAGAAGAAGAAGAAGAAGAAGAAGAAGAAGAAGAAGAAGAAGAAGAAGAAGAAGAAGAAGA